TGTTGTTACTTTAAATACCGCTTTCGTCTTCAAACGAATGATAATTTTGCTATCAATATATGTTTCAAGATTCAGAAAGTACAACGCTACGATTTAATAAGAATTGATTAACAAGATTATCAGCTTAAAAGGTTTATGATAGTCAGTAGTCGAACTTGATCCAAAAGAGATCGACTTCGGGAGCTCATTCGTTACAGTATGTATAATGTTTCCAACAAAGGTTTTTATACTGTCGAGTAGAGTAAAAAAAATGTCCGTATATCATCTTATACGAGTATGTTTCTGCTTTTACGAGAAAATTCTCTATATCTGTATAATAATCGTTCTATAGTAAATATCGGCAATATCAACGTTGTAGTATACAAGTAATAAGTAGTGGATATGTTTCGCGGTATGTAAATTATAAGATTTGAGAGTGTGTTAATCGAACGTCGGCATCAGATCACGGTGCAAGAATTTTTTTGTACACTATATATATATATGACGATTTGTCGGTTTAGATAAATTGTGCATATTTAACATTACATGCTGGTCGATCGCTGGGGACGTATTTATCGGGTTTTTTTGGTACAGCTTCTATGACGTGGTTTTTCAGAATACGTTTGTAAATCCGTTGTTTTATTAATTTATTTTATTAATTAATCATTCCTAAAGATATCTGTAAGCATGAAGATATATAATGATTGAATTTCGAAAAATTAATTTTTTCTAGAAAGGGGGGGGGGGGGGGGAGAGGGATAAAATGCTCTCCATTATCTCCTATCGCGAAACGAGAGCAACTGATGCATCGACGTCGATTACTTGTTCCCGAGTATACGAGAGTCGTTCCTAAAGTATTAAAATGCAATCAATTGCGTTGAATGCGTAACCAACCTGATAGATCTGCTTTCCTTTGAAAAATGATGACAACACGCACACACGTAAGGAAGATACGTAACATAGAATTATCGCACGGACATTAATACGTTTGTTTTAATTCCCCGCTTTCCCTTCCTCCATCCGTAACAATGGCGGTCATGGAGAAGAGGCTGTGGAAGAAATGTAACTTTTTTTTTTCTGAAAAAGAATCTCTATAGTACCGTTGAAACGAACGCGTTCTCGTCCTAGTAATCTGATTCCTTTTGAAAAATGATGACAACACACATACGCGCACACACACGCATACACATACGCAGAAGATACGTAACATAGACTTTTCGCACAGATATGGCTACGTTTGTTTTAATTCCCCGCTTTTCTTTCATCTATCCGTAAGAGTGGCGGCCATGGAGAAGAGGCCGTGGAAGAAATTTAGCTTCTTTTTCGGAGAAAGAATCTCTGTAGTGTCGTTGAAATGAACGCGTCGTTCGACCTAATAATTGAGCGAAAGTGATCATTCTGAATCGGGATTCGCACTTTCAAAACGATCAGCTGTGGGATCATCCCGTCGTCGATGTCGAATGACGTATCCGTACGTTCCATATACGTTCTGAGAAAAAGCTTAACATCGAGAAAAATATGGGGGTATATATTATCTCCTATGTGTCGTTCAGTCGAATTCGAAATAGATTATATTCATGTATTCACGTGTTGTGCCACGCTTACGCAGCAGCTCGCGGTAGCACGCAAAGAGAACGCTCATTCTCTAAAAAGTCACTTTCCCATTTACGAATTTTGGCCGGCTCGGTCCTTTTTCGTTAATACTCGCGATTAAGACGGGGGGGAAAAAATCGGACGTATTACCCTAGAAAGGCGTACTCGCTTTATTCTCGACGTTTGACTGGCTCAACGTAATCTTTTAACCCTTTAACGCCGTGCGTTTATTGATTTAATTTGCATTTTAATTAATCCTCCTTTGATCCCCTCGGAATTTAACGTGTTCATATAGTCATAGCGCATAACTTTGAAGCCTACTAAAAAAAAGAAGCCATGAAATTTATATGTATACCACATTTTAATGCATTAATAGTCAAAATTCTTGAATTTTATGATTCGTAAAATTGTAATATTTTGATGTTGAAGGCTTGATAGTATCAGATGGACTATAGGTATACTTTGGAATTCAATACACTGGTTAATTGATACGAAACACGTGCGATTTTTACCTGTCAAACGCAGAAAAGAAGTAAATTTTATGACGTACGCCATTCTAAAGTCCGTTCCAATAAATTATTTACAGTGTTTTGCTTCCTAACGCGATTTTGAACACGCTTTCGATCGCTCTTCGTGCGGACGAATAAAAACGACCGAGTCGGCGGATAAACTTTGCGTAATAGTAGTAATAGGCCATAATTCCTAGTCGTAAAGTATGAAAAGTATCAACAAATTTGAAAAATCCCCGTCCATCTCCCGTTTAGGCAATAATCTTCTTTCGTTATGCGAACGAAGGATCGCTCGCGTTCGCTAAAAAGAACGCTTACATTGCCTAGGAATTTGACAACAACGCGATCGCGCCACGCTACACCCATTAGAAGATCCCCCTTCCCTCCCCACCCCGTTTCTTGACTAAAAGGCGAAGAAATTGATATACAATTCAATTAATAATTGACAGATAACCAATTAATACGTATAGGATGGTCCTACGGCAGAGAAGGCGTAAACTCCTAAGATTTCAAACGACATAAACTTTTCTAATTTTAACATCGCCACACGGACCATCCAGTACATTGATTGTGTAGTTACTTCTCGCGTTTTATACCTCTCTCTATGTTTTTTCTCTCTTTTTTTTCTTTTTCCGCTATATAATAGAAATCGTATGTATCTGTATGTACGGCATCTCATACCGAATGCATTGCCGATGAGAGTCTTTACATCCGCGCTTCCTGTCATCTGTATACATTCGGCATCCGAGAGTACCAGTTGCAAGCACGAGATACTTGTGTATATGCATTATTCATCATTTTACGTGGCACGTGGTGCCTTCATGTGTGCGGTCGAACTGAAGGTTTCGAAATTTTATATAGTTAACAGTAACATCTCGGCATGAACATTGTACAGAATGATCGAATATCGCACGAGAAGCGAAACCCCTCTCGAGATAGATGATCCGCGAATCCCCTGTCAACGATCTGCGTCGACAAAATCGCAATTAACTGTCACATCTACACAGAGATAAAAAATTCATTATTACATCGATGGAATATTGATTGAAATATTACATTTCTTTTCTATCTGTTGAATAATTTGAAAATTTATGTTACAGGCGTGTAAAAAAGAAAATACAATATAATTTGATATATTAGAAAAGATCAATTTCAATTAATAACTTAATTCGAAAATTTAAAGATGCTTAGATTGCAAAGATCCCTTTTACGTGGATGCGGACAGTTAAAAAGTATGTACATTCAATACTTTCAGTGCGTTGATACCACTTAAAGTCCTTCTTATATTTGGGATTTCGCCGACGTGTCATTTGCTTCGAAGGGAAAAAGTCACGATCGTTCTTATTGAAAAATAAGCCATATAATTTTTTCGTCAAGTGTGCGAATTCTCGCAAACAAAAAGAGATACGGCTCTCTCTCTCTCTCTCTTTCTTTCTCAGGACGATTATATTTCTTCGGAACGAAACATCTGTCGCGGGGCGCTTCTCGTAGAGGGTGTGAAATACGCACACATAGTGGTTCACAGATACAAAACTAACTAAATCTTATGAGATACGGTGAGCAATAATTCCAGATATGTACAGAAGTTATGTTACAGACGTTATAATATAAAGATATCTCCCGACGACGCGAATGTCGTGTATTCGCGGCCCGGAATTTTAACTTCTCAACGTGCGACGATCGTTTAATAATAATTTCCCTCCTCTCTTCCCTTTCGACGATAATGTGAATCGTTTCGAGAGTTCTTCGCGTGAATTAATCATGATATCCTGACGGATACACAGGACACGCGCGTACGGCCCAGTCTGTAATATGTGCAGCCTTCGTTTTTGAAATTCTCTTAATAATTGATAGGCTACCCTGTTTCGTTATCGTTATGAATGGTATCCCCCATGTCCACTCTATACATCATGACGTATTTTTCAAGATACGCTTCTTCTCGGTCGCACTAGAATAAATCGAGGATCGATCACGCCATAGATCGTTCTCGAGGAATGTAAAATCCGGAGAACGTTATCTGATAAGTCGTTTTTTGTCGACTTTTAACGCATATTTTTATGGATTATTAAATTTGAAAATTAAATTTATTTCAATCTGTTGGCAATGCATTACTTAAACCATATATTTTTATTTAGATTTACAATTTTTAAAATCTAGTTTCTCAAATTCTTTACACATCAGATTACAGAAAAGAGAATGCTATAAAAAATCATCAGAGTGAAATCGTAAAAAAAATTTCAAAAAAAAATTTTTTTGTAGCAGTAGAATCTGTAAGAATAAAAAAAATGAATTTATCAAGTCATTCCCTCGAATTTTGCGATCCTTGGTAACAAACTACGGCGTATCGAAGCGGAAAGGGCATAAAAAACAATAATAATTTAATGCGTTATGGGAGTAAGATTACGCGCGGATTTAGTCGCACCTTTTTGTTCTTTTCTTTTTTGGGAAAAGAAATGCGCGACGAAACCGCAACGCCGTGGAGAATATCGCGCCGTTTCGTATTTTTCATTACGTTTTTTTCATATATGTATATATAATATCATTTATCAATAGATATTTACACAAAGCCGTCCCATCCCGCGCGAACGAGCTTATTTCAAATAGAATTCGCTTTCACGTAGTGCCGTCAAACTATATATAGGCCCTATGCTCATATTGACAACAGGTGTATAATATATTTATATATATATATATATATATATATCTAATGATTTTTCGCTATCTATTTTACAAATGCGAACAACCGCAAAACACACGGTGATCGATTCCTTTCGCGCGGACTTGCGCTATTTACTATCTGTCCGTCGCACGTGGAACTTGAGGCCGGAGGAAACGCGAAGTCACGGACTTATCGTCGCCACGTAAGCCACGTGACCGCCGCGACGTCATTAATCCTTAACGTGCGCCCTTAATCTGCAAATACAAAAAGGCAGCGCGACACAGTAAACATCGAAGTGGCAGCCGAAACGTTTTCGTTATATCAGGGATGGGTTTACGCCTGACATTCGTTATTATGTTCATGGTGAGGTGCTCGATGGGTAGAGCGGTTACCTCAAAATCGGTAGATTCGGATTCCATTCTAGCCACTTTGCAAATGGAAAAGTATATTTGAATGGGATTAATATCTTTCTGTGATAAAACAAACCCACTAATATATAAAATTTTCGCTATAGTGGTAATTAAAAAGAAAGCATTCTATAGGACGGAAATCTACAATAAAACTTTTGATGTTTATGACGTGTGTAATATGAACGTCAAAAAATCTTGGACATTACGATAAAAGAATCCAAAATAAAATTTGCAACAAGTCTTAATAAAAAGAAAAACTTTCTAATTTTGTATTCAAATTTTGCAAAGTATATTTAAAAAGTTTAAATAATATATTGTGTCCTAACAATTGTGTTAAGATCATCTAGTAAAACGATCGCTATGAGAAAAAGGCTGCTATTATCTCATTTCTGATGAGAGAATTGTCACGCTGTGAATGTCAAATGTAAACCCGGATTGAATTTGCGTTTCTTGCAGGAAAATCAACACGATAAAGCTTTCAGCCTTAGAAATCATCCTCGACATTTCATGAAAATAACCGCGTGTCTCGTACTTTTCGGTATTCGGCTACCACTGCGACAACAATTCGCGACGTGATTCGTTCGGACTTTTCGTCTCTCTTGTTCTCTCTCTCGTCATTTTCCGCTCGAGCGAGTCTTATTAAACGCTTATTATATAGAAGATCTAAAGTATGTCAATAGAAGATTGTCGATACCGAGTGGTCTGTTTTCGCCACCGACCGAAGAGAGTACCTTCGATCCACGAACCCAACCAACATCGCCACCCCTCGTACTCGGGAATCCCGTCTGAGAGTACATTGCTCTCTCACGGCGTTCTTCTTCCTAAATCTAATCTTATTGACCCAAAAAAAAAAAGAGTACGTCCGTTCCCTTCGATATCGGCGTCCCTTCTGCACCGGCTATGTCTCTTCAGCGTGTGTTACGTTCACCACCGCAACGAGATAATTTGATTTTAAATGTAATCCTAGCGCAAGCGTATCATTAACACGAGCAATCGCTCATTGATGCATTTACCTTCCCAGTTTTCGCGAGAGAGCCTCCGTTTTATCTCAATTCTTTTAATTTTCCGCCTTCTTCTCTACGCTAAACGACGGTGAAAGATGTCTTTCTATCGTTGTTCGACGAAGTTTCAGGCAGACTCCACGCACCGAACGTTTCCTGCGCGCCTTTCCAATCAACATTATCAGGAACGTATTTCATCTCTTGATAAGTGGTCGCGGCTATTTCATCCTGAACGCGTCCGGAGGGACCTGGTCTCAGAATATCGACTGTATTCTGCGCCGTTCCTCCGTAATCTCTTCTTTTCGTCAGCAGTCTCGTCGTAACGTCCGGTCGCGTTTTCCGCAAAGTCACGTCCGATTCCCACGGGCTACCCGAGGACCTGGACCAAGTTCTGGACGCGTCTATCGAATCTTCGCGTCCATCTCGATGATGCCAGACTCTCTCGTTGATCCGCTTACTAATCTCGTGTTGGAAGTCCGTGTGACGTTGCCGTACAAGTTCCTGATGATCTCTGCTGGCCCTTTGCAACTGCCGAAGCACCAACTCGATATACTTGAGCGCCTCGCCGTTCTCGGCCATTCGTTGTGCCCGGTCCGTGGCCCCACCGTGACCCATGTCGCCCCGCGACCCTCGCCCTAGAAGTCGCTCGCACTCCGCATTGTAACGTTCCGTGTTATAGCGGATCCCGTCGTAGCGATATCGATTTCGTTCCAATTCATTAGCGGGGTGTCGCGGATCGCGCGTCGTCGAGCGTGAACCGAGCGTATAACGGGACGTTCCGAAGACACGGCCGAGTTCGAAGGTGGTTTCAGTTAGGCCCGAGTATCGACGGTTCTAATTCGGATAAATCCCCTGGCCTCATACGTGCGTCGCTAACGTACCCACCGCGGATGTGCGCTTCACCGTCGCCATGGCGCCGTTTGGACCGCCGGTGATGTAATGCGCTGACAATGGGGCCTGCAAAACAGAAAAGAACGCGGGTTCTGAATTATTCGACAATTTAAACCTTCCCTTTTTATCTAGAAATACTATTTTGTGTGTATGTGTGCGTGTGTGTGTCGAAGATATTTTTCTTTTTAAATTTCAAAAAAGTGTTTAATAATATTACTAATTATTATTTGGTTTTCTTTTACGAAAATATACTACAAAATTATATAATTATAATATACTACAAAATTATATAATTATATAATCTTTAATTATATCGATTATAAAAAATGCTATAATAAATAATTCTTTCATTTCCTTTCTCCTTTGAGAAATTTTGCGGCAGTGATTCGCGTATTTATGAAGATTGGACTACCATCAGTATATTTTCACATTCCATATAACATTTACACTTAATTACATCAACTCTTTAGAAATGTATAATAGACACTCTACAGCTAATATTATCATCTATATCTATGTCATAAACTATTTAATATTCCAAATATTGAATTATACAATATGAAATACTATGCGAGCGGAAAAATAGCACAAATTATATTTTGAATCTTCGCGGACAACTAAGAATTAATTAAATCATTTTTTTTTCATTTTGAGAAATAAAAAAAAATTGTGAAATTATATGTAATTTAAAATTTATGTATATTATTATGATATTTTCATATAATTATGAAGAGGAAAATTTTGAAGATTGTATGTCTCGCTATAGTACTTAACCGTTACATTGTTCTAAATGTGTATGACTTTATCATTGGTTTATACTACTGTTCTATTTAATAACTCATATATGCTGCATCATCCGTCTTTTATTTCATTCGTATACGCTGCTTCGGTTATAATAATATATAATTGACATGCCTGGTTAAATAATAAAAATATAAATGAAAAATAACAAATCATTATTGTACAAATTTTATCAATTATTAAAAAAACAGACGATTTAGAAAAAGGTAACAAATAAATCAATTTAGAGTGTTTAATCCATGCATATCCTTCCAAGCACTAAAAAAAAACTATATTTATATAGTCTTTAATACCATGCTTAAACATCTTGAGATTAATCCAGACCAATAAAACTCAACCGTGATTCAAACGCGATTTACTTGATTATCAAATTTTTAATTCTCTTTTTTCTTTCGCGAAACGCTTCGGATATTTACGTCTTATGCGAGGAACAGAGACAGAACGAGGCGGAAACAATTTAAAGCGGGAATACATGCGACGGGGGAATTGGCCATACGGGGTAGGATTAGCGTTGCAAAATAAAAATAGCGCGCGAGCAGCTGCAATGGCTTTGCAATATTGACAGCTTGCTTCCGATCTACTCCAAGCTGCACGAAGCTACGCAACACTCTGGAGTGGAGGAGGGGGATCCAGCCGGCAACGTAACTACGTTTAGGAATTTGACATACATTCAGCATTGTGTACCAACCTGCGGGCCAGCGCCGTTCAAGGTATTCAAGCTATTCATTCTCATTGCCTGCGTGTACGGTGGCGGTGCCGGCGTGACTCCCGGCACGGCTGTGTGCGGCGCGTGTCGGAGCTGCTCGGCCGCTGACATTCTGTGTTCGTTTGTAAGAAAGAAATGCAGAGTTAGTGAGATGCGGGAAATCGGACTCTTTTTCTCGTGTCGGAATTTATATCAGAGAGAGAAAGAGAAAGAAAGAGAGAGAGAGAGAGAGAGAGAGAGAGAAAGAGAGATATAGAGATGTAAGCAGTAATTGAATTTGATGACCTACAGAATCGTCGCAGTTTCGGTTATATATACAAGAGCCTTTATGTGCATGTGCTTATTTTTTGTGTCTACATATCTATATAATAATTCGTGAAATTGGATAATGTAAAGTTTATTTGAGATGTGACATGTGAGTTATACTACTCAGCATTGTTCATCTTTTTTTTTCGTTGCTATAAATGTTTCTAACTTATAAATAACTAAATCTTGTACTTGTTTTCGTTTTTTAAATGTTTGTAAACAATATATTTAATATATTGAGATATTTTATATGATTGATTTGGTGCAGAGATCAATCCACATTATGTAAAAGAGAGGTGATATGCGCGGGCCGAAACTGAGCTACTTTAAGAGAGTAAATTTCCAAGTTTCAGTTCCGTTGCACCCAGACTCATCGTTGCAAAACGTTTCTCTGCGATTTCTGTTCCTTTCTCTCTGCTTCGAAGGAAGAGGGATTTCAAACAGACTTCTGCGACGGAGTCGGTCAGCTTTTGTTATATAACTATGTTATAAGCGCGCACCTGAATTGAAACCGTAACGAGTTCGTTCAGTTTCGGTCCATGAACCGAAACTAAACTTCAAAAGAGAGTCGCGTCGTCTCGATTCGTATTCGAGTCTGTTTGACTCGGAAATAGTTTCGGGTCTGGATCTAAATTGAAACAAAACACGTGAGATTGTGACTGTTTGCATCTCTGTGATGGAGAAAAATAAACAAGAAAGAAAGGTAAGAGTACGTATGAACCGAATACGAGAGTGAGGAAGCATAGACTATGTATCTAAACACAATATCTCTCTTCGGGATCATCCTCCGCTAGAGAGCATAAAATTTTGAGAAGAGCACCGCGAAACAAGAATTCTAAAAATTTCTCGGAAAACAAAATTCGATGCAAAGTTGTAGCGCGAAATTTACGTGAATTTAGAATGGATGAAATTTGAGATCTGTTTTCCGAGGAATTTGTCTTTTCTCCTCCCCCTCTTGTTGGCTGCTTTTTTAATAATCATCGAGCCCCTCCGCGTAATATTTTTTTAAGGGAGGAAAATATTTTCCTACCAGCGAAACGCAACCGCGCTCCTCATATCTAATTTAGTTGTTCGCGACGAACGCGCGCATTCCCGGCACGTAGATTCTCGCACACGAGGATGACAAGCGCCCCTGTGACGTATACGTAAACGGAACGTGACGTTGCGTAAAGTATCCACGGTCGATCAATGACACGGGCTAATTATAATTAGTCCGAGGCATCCGCGCGAGCTCAATTTAAAGGCTTTCATGACTATGTTGATAGTCTGAGAAATTTTGGAAGTTTGATCGAGCGCGAACGAGACTGTCCCTCGGCTTACATAAAAGACCTATTACACTAAAATTACAATGGAAGTTTCCTACTTCTGCTATAGATTGTTCTATGTAGTTAAAGTCGATTGTTTTTAGCGAAAACAATGAAAGAATCAATATTATGTTATAATAATGTAAATAAATGTATTATCGCTTTCCTTGTCTGAAGATATAGAAACGTATTATGTATATAAGCTTACCTGAGGTAGGGATTGCCATATGTCGCGGAAAATCGCGGATCGATCGGTGTTGTTTGCGGAGTCGAGGTGCCAAGATTGGCCGAGCTGAGTCCGATTTTTTTCGATGACAAAATGCCGCTCGATGGTATCCTGCTCAAGGATTCTCGCGAGGCGCCTACACTCTGTGTCGTCGGTGGCATATAGTCGCGAGTATAGTCAACGTATGGCACGTAACCGTTGTTGTTACTACCATCCTACAGAAACAAATACCATAAACTTAGTTTTGCTATTAAAGTACAATAAATATAATAACAAAAATTTATTTATAATATTTTATAATCGCAAAAAATATTTCTTAAAAATGCAAATTTTATAAAATATTATGTATTATACTTGATATATGTTTACATGTTATATTATATATAATATTAAAATATCAAAAATTTTTTTCAAGATAGAATATATATGAATGATGATTTCACTCACGTTATTCTTCGGAGGGAAGGAGGGCTCAGTGTAATCGGCGCTGTAACGATAACCGGATAAAGGATTCGGAACTGGCCCAGCAAGTGCCAAGGCATTCACCCCTCTGGTACTTCCTTCGCCTTCACTGTCAAGAGCTGTGACACTCTCCGCATTGCTGACGCTGGATCCTGCTCGGATATCCGCTTTGACATCCGAGAGATTACTGCTCCTATCGCTTTCTCTGTATCGATCGGCATTAGAATCGGTTTCCTCTGTATAAATGAAGAAAAAATGTTCACACATAAATGCCTATTTCAAAAGTTTTCAGATCTTTTGTATTTTTATATACATATATATATATAATATTCTTTTTTTAAATATTCCGCGTATACTTGCAAAATTATACATACATTCGCGTAGGAAGTAATTACTTACGCATATCAGTCTCTTGATTCTGCGCTGTCCGCGGCCGTGGCTGCTTAATACGATCGCGACATTGTAGAATGAGTATGACTATTATGCCAATCAGGATCAGGCAGACAACCAGTCCAACGATGATCAAGATCAATTGCCAATCGACTGGAATCAACGCTAAGCGTCATGCTTGGTTAAAATCTCGTTCGCCAGATGAAGAGAATGATGGCGCGCTGCTTATTAATGTATCGCATCTCCGTTTAAAAAAGTGGCAAGAGTCAGAAACATAAAATTTTAGACATTTCTTGTATAACAACAATTCGCCCCCGTGTATATCTTGCTTGATACTTTTGTAGCTAAAGTATAAATTTATTTTTTTATGATTTATTTCGAGATAAAGATCACAATTGTGTATTGTAGCTGGTATCACTTTTTAATTTTATCTCACTTTCGTAAATTTTCTCTTTCCGCAATATAAGAACGTAACCGGAATTAAATTCGCCAATAATCGTTTGTCAAATAATATATTTGACGTACGTTAATGGTGAATCTTGGAAGCTAATTATTTAATCGCGGGTAGCGATTAAAGTAGTTTGCGAATCATTAACTGAAGAGCTAGCTGCGCAAATGAGCTGATTTAGAATCTCTCTGATCTGATGAAAGTACGAACGACGACAAAGCGTTATGCGAACGTATTATTCTTACAAATTGTGATCTTCCGTAAGGGTGTAAAAGCTTCGTTGCAAGAGAATTCAAATTATTGTTAAAAAAAAGTATCAAATAATGACACTTCGAACAAGCGGTAATATAAACTTTTTTCAGTCCCGAGTCAACAGTTGTTGAAAATATATATTTCTCTTATATGCAAGAAACAATTATCCCGAGTCAACAATTGTTAAAAATATATATTTCTCTTATATGCAAGAAACAATTATAAAAACACTGTGGCGGTTATATTCCAAGGTAGAGATTTAAATATCTCGTTTATATTTAGTTCTTGAATATCTCGCGAGATATCTACGTGTATTTTCTTTTCCAGTGTTATCTTCGTGAATATACCTGGATATAAATGCTCTGGCAGTATTTCAACTCTCTAATCATCCTCAAACTACTACGTAGTTTCAATCTGCTTGAAGAAGTAAATCGATTTATAACACACCGCTGGGTGGTTCCTATACACATCTGTTTCTTGCGAATTTCATACATAATCGAATAGAAGAATGGAAATTTTTAATTTTATTATTTTTTTCTTTTTTATGATCTTTTAATACCATATACACTGAAAAAAAAAAATTGTTAACTTGACTAAATCCGTTCAACTAATTATAATTTTTTAAATTGAAATATTTATATATTTAAGTCAAATATACGTCATGTTAGATTTAATATGTCGTATTTGACTTAAATATATAAATATTTCAATTAAAAAAATGGAAATTAGTTGAACGGATTTAGTCAAGTTAACAATTTTTTTTTCAGTGTACGCTTGACGCACGCCTACGTACATTTTTAATGACGATTCCTTTATCTAGTCAAAATCAATTTTCCTTTAACAAAAACATCGGAGAAAAATTATTAAAATAAAGAGAGACATTATATTTCTCGTACTTTTTTTCTCTTATTCAACACATTTAGAAAATATTGTAATGAAAATGTGAAACTATGCCATTAAAATGAATATCTAACACATATTATACTGGCATATATAATCTCGTCGAATTACAATTAGCTCGTAATCGTTAATATCATTTAAGCGTAAAATTAAGACTTTTAATAATATATCGTATTCATTATATCTTTCTCTCATTTTAACGACTATTTGCTAATAATGCGAGCGTAAATTAAATTCTATTGAATTATACATAATAGCAGCAAAACATCGATAAATATTATTACTTACTTTTTATTCTAGAAGTAATATATCGTCGTTATTATATTAAAGACGACGGTTTAAATATGTACTTTGTGTCTAATTACAGCCATGTGTGTTCATCACCAACGACAAAAATCTAAGTCGACTTTGAACGATTTAATTTGTGACTGTAATCCAATTATTTCATCGATATCAATAATCTAATTAATATTTTGATAAGATCCTGCATAAAGTTAGTCGCGCGCGACTTACTTTCTGTAATCTTCTTCCTCTCTTATGAATTTCCGTCCCATTTTCAGTAACGATTAAAATTTACTAATCACTAGTTACGCCATATACTGAGTATAATAAATCAAGCATAGAATAAGCGTAGAGTACATAGAGTTGCGATCGCTGCGCGTCCTCGTGTTTTTTACCCAAACTCCTCATCCAATGAGAGAGCAGGAGGAGCTTCGATTTACTATTTATGCTAGTTTCTAACTTCTCATTATTTAGATGCGCGATAGCAATCAATTTTCGGTGTCAGAAGATTTCACGTGACCGAAAATAAAGATACCGATTCGTCATGTTTGATCACGTGACGTTTTTCGACTCTAAAGGTGCCTTTACATGGCAGCATTAAGCGTCGAGCGTCTGCGCAGAAAAATGCGCAGAATTTAAAAGAGATAGATTCTAGGCTGAAATTAGATTCTGCGCAATTTTCTACGCAGACGCTCGACGCTTGACGCTGCCATGTAAAGGCACCTTAAAAGATGCGCGTCGGTACGAAAAGATACTTTTAGAATTAACCGTGATTACGTCATCGGTTTCACCAATCAGCGGTCAAGCGCCAGGCGCCAGCTCGGTACACAGTTAAATGGCGATCGTGGCGCCCCTTTTGCGCGCCTTTTTCCCCGTCCCAGGTAAATCCGCCCGCGAAACGAATCCGTACGAACGGGAATCGAGAGTGCTGAATCCAAGTGTTACGCGATCCTTTCGACCTGTCATTTTGACCTTTGGCCTCGCGAGCGGTGCCCGTGATAGTCGCCAGTGATTGTCTCGTGATTTCGTTCGCCGATCTTTCCGCGAATTCCGCGAAGTTAGCCGCGCGATTGCGTTGCCGTCTTGACCTTGACTAATGGCCAGTTCGCGTCGCACCCTTCTCGTGATTAGTCGAATCGCGATCGTTCGAAGGTTCGAGTCCTTTTATCCGACTCCGGGCGAATTTTGCGTACAAGGGAGTATCGGTAGTGTTGAATTCAAATATCATTATTATTTCGATCTGTCATTTTGGTCTCGCAAACGGTGCCCGTGACCCCCCAGTGGTTGTCTCGCGTTCGTCGATCTTTCCGGAAATTCCGCGAAGTTAGCCGCGCGATTACGTTGCCATCTTGACTAACCGCCAGTTCGCGTCGCTCCCTTCTCGTGATTAGTCGAATCGCGATCGTTCCAGGATTCGAGTCCTTTTATCCAACTCCGGGCGAATTTTGCGTACAAGAGAGTATCGGGAATGTTAAATCCAAATACCGTTATTATCTCGATCTATCATTTTAGTCTCGCGAACGGTGCCCGTGACCCCCAGTGGTTGTCTCGCGCATTCCGTTCGTCGATCTTTCCGGAAATTCCGCGAAGTTAGCCGCGCGATTGCGTTGCCATGCCATCTTCCCATTAATCGCCGGTCAGTTCGCGTCGCACTCTTCCCCTGCTTACAATTAGTCGAATCGCGATCGTTCGAGGGTTCGAGTCCTTTTATCCGACTCCGGGCGAATTTTGCGTACGAATGAGTATCGCGCGATCGATTCTAGCAATGAGCGCGATCTTCCCAGTGTTATTAATCGGTTTGCGCGACTGCAATTAATTGCGGTACAATTAACTTCTCGAATCGTTTCGAAGCGTCTCGTCGAATCGGCGCCATGTTCATCGGTAAATATTCGTTATCGCGTCTCGCGCGAGTGTCATCGTCCAGCATCCAGAATATCCGAGGAATATCGAAGGGCCAAGCGTCGCCTCGATGGATTAATCGAGACGCGATATTCCCGCGATATTTCCGATTTTCGAGTAACGCTCGCGTCCTCCTCCCCCTTCCTCTTCCCCTCGCCATCAAGAATCGCGTCGCGCGCTTCTCGGAATTCTCGTCGTCGCGCCACTTCTCGGAATTTTCTCGCATCACGTCGCGTTTCTCCAAATTTTGCGCCGCGCGAGAAAGTATCTTCGGGCGCGATAAATCAAGAGCGCCGAATGAATCCATTGTCGATCGCGAACATTTTTCCGTCGATTAACGGACTCGATTGCGATCAAGCGCGCGCGTTTTTCCGCGATCGTTTACGCGTTGCGTATTATTCGCGAGTGATATCCGTACAGTGTGTATATGCGAATAGTGATTAGTGATCAATATTCAGAAGTGTATCGTGACCGGACCGAGGAGGTATCGAGATATTGCCATTGGATTATTGGAGAGACTGCGATTGTTACCCGTTACTACGATGTTCGAATAACGGTGAGTACATATATTTGTGCATGTAGCTTGTAATCCGGCAAAACAATGCATAGATAATAGATATATTCGGCGTATGTAATATTTCTCGAAAAATAAAATAATTCATCTTCTTCACAAAAATATCGATATATGTGTATGATTAATTTCTAAGCGATTGAAAAAGAAGATTTTGTTAAAAAAGATTCTGTAAAAAAAGATGCAAATAGATAACGAACGCAATTTTTTTATTATAATTGTAAATGGCTAAAAACTAAAATTTAGAATTTTATGTTTTTATATCGTAAAATCATTTGATCGGAGAAAAAAATTTAAGATGTTTTAATATTGAGATTTCGAGTAAATCGCAAAATATATCAAATCGATTTACTATTAAATATTTAATTATTATCAATTTAATATTAAATATTTATATATAATTATTTTAAATAAAGATATCAAGATAATGGAGAAAATATTTCGAGTAAATATTACATTATTATAAAAATATATCGAACAAAAATATGAAATGAAAAATCTTTGTAGAGGAAAATTAATTTGAATATTTTCAGCTAAAAATATCGCATTCTTCGCAAAATGAATTCATTATTCGACAATATATCTCCGCAAAATTCTTGGATTCTTATTAGAAAAGATAAGGAGAGAGCGCGAGAGCGAAAGAGAGAAGGGGATAATATACGACGGGCTATCAAACTTACTGTGCGCTGTCAGCTTGATGATGACGGAATCCGTGCCGAAGCTGTTTGTGACCGTGCAGTTGTAATCCCCGAAGTACGTCGATATGGGATCCAGCAGGGTGACAGTACTGACTATCCTCTCGCCCGTGTATTCCTCTTGCACGTAGAACGGCGTATTGTTCGACGTGAAATTGAGCTCGCGACCGGCGAAACTCCACACCACCGATTCCGCTTTTGGCACAGATATCGCGGTGCACTTAACCTGGCAGGCACAAATCGGGGAAAATGGCGGTGAAATAAAAAAAAAATACTGCGGTTAAGCGCAATTTCGTCCCCCTTTCCGTCTCGCCATCCTCGGATGGTGACCCGCAACACTCTCCTAAAAGTGTTTCGGGCAAAGAGAAAAATACAGCAATGGCGTCATCGCGAACCGTGTGTTAGGAACATATATGTATGTATATAGGACGTTGGCAAATTGTTTGGAAAAAAAGTTCGTGTATCCATGTCCGCGAACAGCTTACACTTTTTTTGTAAATAGTGATCAAAATCGATATAATTTTAATATAAGTCACAATAGAAAAATATTACATCGATTATAAGTAAATATTAATATACATTTATAGGACGTTGGCAAAATGCTTGAAAAAAAATTTGTATATCGATGTCGCGAACGTGTAGCTTATATATATATATTTTTTTTTTTTGATGGTCAGAATCGATATAATTTTAATATATCACGATAGAAAAATATTACATCGATTATAAATAAATATTAATATACATATATAGGACGTTGGCAAAATGCTTGGAAACAAATTTGTATATCGTTCATGAACGTATAGCTTTTTTTTTTTTCTTTCTTTTTTTTTTATGGTTAAAATCAATATAATTTTAATATAAGTCACAATAAAAAAATATTACATCGATTATAAATAGATATTAATTATTGACATTTAATTAAAAGATCGCTCACTATGGGATGTTTTTCTGGTTTCAACGTGAAAAAAACGCCACTTACAATTAATACATCCATCTGTCCGCTTTATAAACTCTCGAGCGTGTTTTTACGTCGTACGGATAAATTATCCAGAATAAATTACAGTCTGACAATGAGCGCTTCCTAATAATTCAAAAGATCTTTCCAGCGGCACGTGGGTGTGGGAAAGGAGGAAGGGAGAGGGGATTTCCACGCAATAATAATATGTGATACGTGCGCGCGCGAGTGCGGTAGCACTCAAGAAAATTACGCTGGTATCTCTTTATCGCTATCAATAATACTTAACCGACCGAAGGAAGGAGAAGGAGGAAGGGGAGGACGCGTCTCTCGTCGAAGAACGTTATTATAGTTACGCACCTTGACCACTCCCTCGTCGGGAACGTACTGGATCCTCTGCGACACGATGCTCGGCGGGGCGCGAATATAGATGTTGGCGTGGCCTGTCAATTCCGGGAAGCCGGGCACCCGGGCCTTGCAATAGTAACGCCCGGCGGTGTCCGGGCCCACGAAGACGCTTATGTTGGGACTGGTGGCAACCGTTCGCTCCGAGTCCTCGTGGTACCAGAGGATCTCCGGCGTCGGATTCCCGTCTACGTCGCACTGCAGGATCTCGGTGGCGCCGTAATGCGTATCCACGGATACGGGCGGGTGCCGAAACTGCGGACCGTCTGAGAAGGAAAAATTCAATTGTAACCCCCGGGTCAGTTCCGCGAAATGAACTCGCGGAAGAATGTTACTTTCTCTCACTCTCTCTGTCTTTCTTTCCTTTCCTTTATATAAGCCTCCTATTATATAAGCCGTCTATTCTAGTATACGGTTTATTTCGAGAGAAAGAGAGAGAGAGCTTTTCCGTTCTACTTTATATATCATTACGCGATTGCTCCTTTAATATACCGGCTCGCACAACTGCTTTACGATAATACGAAATTTTTCTTCAGCTTCGCGAGCAGCGCGAGTATACGCGCAGCATTCTATTTTATATCCCTACGCGATTGTATCTTTAATCCGGTGATTTTATTTCCGAGACGAAATTAATGCTGGTATCCTTATGCGGATCACGAAAATTGCGAGAAATGAAATGAGAGTAAAGGAAGATTTATGTTGGAATCTTACGCGTGACATTTTCCTCCGAGAGAGTATCTGCGTTTGCTATGCAAGCTGATTATATTTTATACGGAAAATTAAATTTTCGTCACACTTACATCTTATATCTAAGGTTTGGCTCTCCTCGCTTTTACCAACGTCGTTAGAAACCTCGCATTTTACGGTCGCGTCGTGCAGGTCGCGAGTAGCGTTGTGAATCACCATCTCCGTGGTGTAATCGCCAATCACCTTTTTCTTGTTGATAAACCACCTGAAAAAGAAAGATGAGATGGAGACACGCCGCTTGTGGAAAAGAAGCGTACAATAGAAGTTATAAAGCGGGATTATTTACATAACAATATCCGGACCGGATGTAATAAACAGGCGACCCGAAACTCACGGGTTATCAGGCACATCACATTTTTCATAATTTTCTCGCGCTTTTTTCCCTTCACACAATTCTATAACATATTTCTCGCGTCGCCCTTTACCATTATCTCGCCTTTCGGATCAATACGACTTTTTTAAATAGTCGTGCGATGCAGCCAAACGATTATTTCTGCGATTCGGTGCCAGAGCAAACGCGTCTCTAACTCTGTCGTCTACAAAATCGCAAAATTTACACGCGTATTTTTCTTTGGACTAATTTGATTTTTTCTTAATAAATATTTAATCCAATATCTTTTTTCGCGACTCGGCTTTTAACATACATACATCTCGATAATGAGATATGTCAGTTTGAGATAGTCTTAAAATTAATTTGAAATTAAAATATCTAAAGTCCAGTGTTATTTATATTTCTCAAATTTAATTTTACTCTTTATGTCTACATATATAATCTCTCATTTTTGTGAAAAATTATTATAATGTCTCGACATATACATAAAGTCGATTTTGGTCCAGGAATACACTTTTATAAATTTTGTAACGTCGGTTTGAAGACATTCTGTGCACGTGCTTTATGACGTTTCTTTATCGTGAAGTGCTCTCCGCCACTCGGCTTCTGCCAGCCAAAGCGTCCTCTCGAAGGATTCGAGCGATTTATCTCGAGCATCGTTTGGCCGCAACAATCGACGAAAAGAGCCTCGGTGTCGTCGTTTCGAATGGTAATAAACGGGCGAGGGCAGGCTGCGCTTTTCACAGCGGCTTCGCGTACAATCAGCGGAAAGAAAAGAGAGAAAGAGAGAAGAAAGGGAAGAGGGAGAGGAACCGAATCGAACGGCGACTTACCGAGCTCGTGTGTCTCCGGAAGAGAGAGAGAGAAAGAGAGAGAGAGAGAGAGACCAGTGTGCAACATCGCCACCGTCCCCTCTTTCGCCCCCTCTTTCGCCCCCTTCGCGTCGCGATCGATTTTATCGAGGCCGTCCGATAGACAATTTACCTCGCAAAGATGTCGGCAAAAGCGTGGTGTCTACGTACATTCGCGCGAGTGCCTCGCCATAACGACTCGATAAACATTGAGGGTGTCTCTTTAGGTCATCCCAGTAGAGGTCAATACTTTTCCGTATGCGCGTCTACAGGGTGCTCGAAAAACACGCGATGGAATTGTAAGAGAATATTTTACGCGGGTAATGCGACAGTTATATAAATCCGGAAGTCTATCTATTCTAGAAATATATATGTATCTATTTCGGATCGTTTCTTTTTCTTTTTTTGTATTTTGCCTCCTTCGCAATCTTCGCGTTTAAATTTATTTATCGAAGCAATTTCGATTTTACGAAAGTACATATAGCGCAAAATTAATTGACCCAATCCCAAGTTAAGTCTTCCCTATCTCATCCCTTTTTCGTTGTTCCCTCGAGAATTATACAGTCGTTCGTTGTAACAAGATCATCGAGAAACTGATACGATTCATAGCGGATAATGATTTTGTCTTTGTTATTCAACGCCGCGCGAACGCAACGAGAGTCACGTCGTCGATCTCCCCGTACCTGCCTCAGTTTTCACTTGCGTTCGTATCTCTTTTATGGGCCGACGTGGCGCGACGACGACCGGCGTAAAAAGCTGCAAAAAGCTGCGAAAGCTATAAAAGCTGTTAAAGCGACTGGCAACTAACGTTTGTTATCCTCCCTACAATGTGGTCCTCTGACTGCTCTTTACTCGTTTCACCGTCTATCCTATTATCTGTGAATCGCCATAAGCTGGTCAAGAGTTACCCTCCCCCTTTTTTTTTTTTCATCAAGCTTCAACACACATCGCTTACGCTCGAAAGAAACCTGTGACGACTCAAAAAAGAAAAAATCCATTTCGAGCTTTTATATCCATGTAAAAACGTTTCGTTCGGTTTATACCTGGAAAAAGAAATTCGTAGCTTAAATCCCGCTCTCCTCTCTCTTTCTCTCTCTGCGGTAAATTGAAATATTTCTCTTCTGTCGCTAATTATATCAAGTCAAGTTACTAAATTCACTCAGTGAAATATGGTAATGTAATAGAACCGTGTTACGTCGATATTATATATCGAGCGTTCGTAAAGAGCAAAATTATCGTCGAGTCGATTTAATCCAAGTGACGATCCGATAATCGCGTATAAATTAATACGGCATGGACGGTCCTTTTTTTTTTTTCCCCCCGACGGGGATGTTGCGTAACGAATAATTTAAAAGCAATCAAAGCGGAGTGAGAGACCCCGCAAACGCGGCCCCGCGCGTTAACACGTGCGCGCGCAACGCCGTCCTGAATTTGACATTGTCCTCTTTGTAGAGAGGCGGATATCGATCATCCGCCTTCTCTTTGTCACTCGCAGCCAGTGTACACGAACAACGCGACTCACGTTTTGCTTACGCGGTATCGCCCACGGCATCGCTCACCTGTAGCGACGCGATACGACGAGAGAAACTATCGATATTTTGGAAACTTTAAGTAGCTTAAGGCTTACGGAGAATGGATCGTCTTAAGCGGGGAAAGGGGGAGAGGGGGAACAACTGATACGCGAGAACCGGATCACTCTGTAATTCTATTTTATATTATGTGCATATACAAATAGAGGAAGATCTTTCTCTCGACTTATATATTGTTATCGCTTTTTCTTTTCTTTTATTAAAAAATTTGTTTGAAGAATGATTTGGAATTCGAAAAATTAAAATACGAAGCCGTCGTCTTTTCGAGGACGGTGGTTTTCGATATCATGTAAAAGATAATTCGATTATACGTCAATATTCGCGATCTGGCCGATATCAGCTGTCAATTCTTTTTTTTATCGATATTTCTCCTTGTATTAATTACGGAGATACGTAAGAGTGGCTGTATTAAGTGATTATTTTGAAACCCAAGCTCAATTATATTGATCTTATCAAACTAGCGGGCGACCCAATTCGGGATGCATTTGCTGGTTGCCGTAAATCATAAAGTTTACTTTATTTTCAAGAAATAATTATTAATCTCGTAATTTAACTAGCTTCGTACATTATTTCGCATCAAGATGCAAATTTATGATCTCTTCTAAAGTATTTATGTAACTTTATTAATAATATTATCCTATCTAAATTATCCCCTCGCGATCCGCAATTGAAAGTATATATTTGGATTTTTCTATTTCCTATTTCTACTTCTCTATTCGATATTAATAAAACAAGCATCGAGATATATTTCCTTTCCGCTCACCTGTATTCCACGTCAGGTGGATTGGCCTCGGCACAACATTTGAACCTAAGCTCGGAGCCTTCGACGATGCGATCGATCTTCGAGAGGGATACCTTCGGTGCGTAACGTACCTGAAAACAAACAAAACGTGTAAATCGAGACACGGGTTCCACAATCTTTCTTTCCGTTTCCTGAACGCAAGGATCGAATATACGGCCCGTCCGATATTATCGTCATGCCTCTCATCCCGAATGTGCGTAGTCCGGAATAATAATGATGCATATCCATTACCACACGCGCGTTCGAAATTTTCGAAACGTTCGTTATATATTTCATCGGGGGAAATAGGAGATATATCCCGTAATATATCGTTCATATCCGATACAGTTTTCCGGAATGAAACGAAATTTTAACCGTTCAATTTTAAGTATTTTTCTGAAACCTTTTCGAAACTTTATCATATTTGTCATGTGCCATTTAAAATTCGATCACCCTTTTTTTAAAGTTATCACGTGGTTTCAAGGCAAATGTTTTACGTCTCAGATTTATGATATTTTTCTTCATAGATAAATTTTTTTTTTAAATGAATTTTTTGCGATACAAAAATGTCGAAGAATTATTAATATTTTTTGTGCAAATGATTGAAGACGAGATATTTCTTACGATTCAACCTTCAAGATTGCAATTTATAAGAATTTAGTCTTTAATACATTTCGAGCGAATATAACTGAAATTTAATTTAACGATTTATATACACATAAAGATATTTAATTTTGATATGAAAAATCAATATTACATTAAGAAGTTAATATTACGTTATTGCGATGTATCAGACGGTATTTGATTAAATTTTACTGCGAGCAAAAATCGAATTACATTGGATAATCCATAACAGAGGGAGAGGAAATTATTTTTTAATGACAAATACCTGAAAAGAAATCGACTCTAAATTGTCGAAAGAAAATTTGCCATCAAAATGTAATAAAAACGGGACTCTCCGTAGATCGAGTATTAAATCGTTTTATCAACGCGCGTACGCGGGTAATAAAGAAAAAGCATGTCGAGAGGAAATACGAGAGTTCGCTCCAACTCACTTGCGTAAGAATCGCTTTCAATTAGGGCGACATAAACGTCGAACTTATATTAACAGTCGTGAAAAGAGAGCGCTGGCGATATATATGTATATATATCCGTGTAAAAGAGTTGAGTAATAACTCGTGAAAATTTTCTGCAGAGACCGGTGGCCACGGTATGGCGCCGGTTCATAATATCGCGCCGTTCTCGTCCTCGACGTCGTCGTCGTCGCAAATTCGAATGTTCTGCCGGGGCAAAAATCTCCGCGAGTTCGCTTCGTTGCCCTTTTCATGAAACTATTTGTTCCTTTTGCCACTTCGGATAATGGAGTCCACGTCTCTAAAGAAAAGAGGGCGGAAATAGTACCCGGAGAGAGAGAGCGCGCCAAAGTAACTCGCGCGCTCTCGCAGCACGAAAGTTGCGCCAGCGGATGGCGATTACCGCGCGCTAACCGCTTCTCAAGACACGACGTTAATTATTATACGTCGCCTCGTTACCCTCGTTACCCTCCCCGCTCACCCCCGTCCCGGCCGCGCTTTCGCGCGACTCGCGTTAATTTCTTCCTCCGGTCAGCGAGTAAAAAGAGCGCGAGCGCGCAAAAGGCAGTGATTTTATTTCCCTTTAAGCGAGATTTCTATCTTCTCTCTTTCTTTCTTTCTTTCTCTCCCTCCCTCTCCCGGTTTCATTTTCTTTTATTCTCCTCTGATTTCTCGCTGACGGTACGTCCGCTCGCGGACTTTATTTCAGAATATTATTCTGCAATATTTTTTTCCAAGAGAGAGAGAAGCGCGCGTAACTGTCTCAAGTTCAGGGGAGCCTTATTAAAATTATGTAAATTAGGATCTCGTGTTTGTCGAGACTCGGGGCCTTAATTACCGGTAACGTACCTCGACGCGTAGTTTGGCGCTTTGCGGCGAACGATCCGCCGCATTTTGACTTTGGCACGTGAAGGTCGTGTTGTCGTGATCCTTTCGCGGCATCACTCTCAGGGTGGACTTTACCGTGTAGAGCGGACCGTTATCGAAGGGTTCCTTTGAGGTTTTGATGCCGCGATGTAGCACGTTGCCCAGTCCATCGATCCACGTGATCTGCAAGAAACGTTACAGTTAAAAATAGCGTAGCTCGAGAAAACACTCGCGCGAGGGAATTGACCCGTGACCGGAATTCTTATGCTTTTATTACCATAATGGTACCCGTGGGTCCTAAAAACTTTAAGCTTTTTTTCGCTTTTTTTTTTCCGAAGAAAATTGTTTCAGCGCGGGCATCCTACTCTGGCATCACGCTAGTTTTTATTAATTAACGATACGCCTCAAATATCTGTTCGAAATAATATATCGGATTTTCTTTCTCAAAATGTAGATCGGGACGAGAAAACGGAAGAAAAGTCAAAAATAGTTTCTACAACGTTATACAATTATCCAATTACAATGGTGGATTCTATTCATGGGTAAAAATCAATAGTTCCCAAGTTGTTGGAAGGGATGCGTAGGATGAATTAATAATGTAGCTGCGAACAAATTTCCGTGCATAATGATTGACTAACATGATTGTTGTATCGAGGCCTGTGTTCAAACATAGTCGTGCGCGGGCGTGCGCTCACGTATATGCATGCGTGTCGCGGAAATCAAGCTTATCGGCACTAATTAGACACCTCATGCGAGAGTTCCCGCTGTTTGTTATCGATATGAGATCTCCGGCCTGCAAGTGCCGCAGCGTCCTTCCGCGTTCACCGCGTTAGGGATCACTGGAATAATCGTATTTCCACACAAACGCCGCTATACTGATTAGAATTGACCATGTCATGCCGTATCACGATTTATGCACTCGTCGCACACAATTTTTTATTTTGTATTAATAATTTGTCAATTTCACCCACAAGTAGATATCTCTCTCTCTCGGTAATATTTACATTTCTCGAAGCATTTCCTGATTATTCTGATAACTCTGTTTTTCCGATTAATAATCAGTAGATTAGTAATCAGTAACGTGCAATTTATCGCGCGTATTCATACTTAAATAAAAAATCATAAAATATACTAATATTTGTACATTCTCGTATCATTTTTTCCGTTATGTGTTATATATAAAAAAATGAGAAAAAGAATGTTATATCTGGCGTAGAATATCCATAATAATATAACCGACGTTGCGTAATCCATTTTAAATACTTTGTTTTTTTTTTTTTTTTCAAAATAACATTCTGCATGATAAATTATAAACTTTCGAGTATATGTTTTGAAATGCAATTGGTACCACATGCGCAACCAGAGGCTGCGATGTTATAATCAGAGTCGCTAGTTTGCACGATGACGCAATTGCTAAAGTTATTATACCTCAAACTTGAGAGAAGAGTATAATGTATGTAATATTATGCATTCCCATAAATACGAAGGCAACTTGAATCGTGTTAGAGATACCGGAAATCGCAACAATTTGCTTTCTCTCTCGCAATCAACTCATCGAATATGCTTTTTGTTGACGTCCTTTCGCGCGGGCTCGTAACCGCTTTTCTAACTGCGGCCTCCGCAGGAAATCGATCTCGTCCGCTCTAATTAGGAGTTTTGCGGTCCCGCGGTGCAGTACCATTTACTATTGTGTCACGAGTGCGAATGAAATTACCGCGCCAAGTACATTTGCCTAAAGGGAACGAAAAAACAAAGATCGGAGCTCACGGTTATTTTTACGCCTTCTCTTATATAATCTCTCCGTATAAGGTAACACGCACAATATACATTTCCTCATAAAACCCACGATACACGCAGCTAATTTTCGCGAGAGATGTATTATTTTTTTAACGGCGGAATTTATAATTTCCGAGAAGGAAAAAAGATAAAAACTTTTCAAGTTGAAATAAAAACGACTCGTGCGCGATGTATGATGAAAAATCATATTAACGACTGAAACAATAATAATATTTTTTTTTTCCCGCGGAAAGAGATATCATTCATCCCAAAACCATGATTGTGCGGGCGCTTAACCCAGTTTTTTTTTTTAATCCCAAATCCTTATATTTCAATAAACACGGCTATAGAGCTAATCTTTATCGAACGTTCGCATTATCCTTCCGCTCGTTTAATACGATATTCATTTTTTCTACCCGTTCTCCCCGACATTAAAGCGTGCATTCCACATTTTCTGGTCCGGAACGGCGGGAATACACGCGGCTAGAGATGCCCTCCGGGCTAGAGATTTCGAAGCGCGCTCGCGCGCGTCCAGTTTTATTACGAAGCGTATTGAGAATCGTATCAGTATATCCCGTAGCGGTTTTCTCCGGTAAGATGAATAGATTCACAACTAATAATTTCCCGTGGGTATCCGCGCGTTCTCCTCCCTCTCCTCGCCCCGGCACCCTCATACGGACCATTCGCGCGATGGACAATAGCTCTGAAAGTGGAGTTACGGGATGTAGAATAAGCGACGCGACGAGGCGGAGAGAAAACGTTAGAGTAATGGTAGAAGTAAGAGAGAGAGAGAGAGAGAGAGGAAAGGGTGAGAGGCAGGGAATTGCGCGAGTAAATGCCCTATCCCGTTGTTGGAGCTGTTTAATTACTAGTTATCAGTTGAAAGGCAAACGGAGAGACGGGGGGAAAGAAGAAGAGAGAAGCGAAATCGGATTATGGCGAGAGCTCTGCAGCGAGGCATCCGACTGTGGTGACTCTGAATTTCTCGCGGAATTACACCCCCGTCCCTCTTGCTCTCTCGCGCGTTTTCTTCCTTCCCCTCCCTCTCCCGCTCTCCCCTCATCCTTTTCTCCCGATGCGATTCGCCTAATGAAGGTCGATAAGGCTTGCGATAGATTCAGCAATATCGGCGACTTTAGATAGAGCGAGCGTCTCCGATAGAACGAGATAGCTTGTACATTAAGTCGTAAAATCGAGAGATCTGCATTTATTAAATGTTTCCTTCGATTTTATCTCGCCGAGAGATTCCCCGAGATTTTTCAGGACGAATTAATCGGGATAATTACGGTGGATTGTTATCGCTTGCGCGAGACAGAATGTATATATACATGTTTTACACGTTTGCCGCATACTTTCGTCGTACGACTCGTTACTTATAAATAGAATAAGAGAGCAATAATAAGGTAATATAAAAGTAATATTAAAATCCTGTCTTGTGGAAACTTTGCGGTATCTCGGAACGGGAATTTCCGCGGCAATACGACAGAAAGTCGTCCTGGAACTTTGGAGTCGTCGGGAAGAGGTCCGAAAAGAAAGAGAGAGAGAAAGAGAGAAATGCCATTAGAATGAAAGTGTACGGCGTACAACAATTTAAACAATTGCGTGAGAATCGCGGCAAATAGACGTCACGTGTTTGAGAACAATTATTAGACGCGCTGCTTAATATTAATTTTGGAATTATACGCGACCAAGACAACTTCGTAGTTGCCCGACTTTGTGCAAATTATTTCGGAAAATCCTGCTGTTTTATTCATTCCTGTCGTAAACTTTTCGATACGCGAGGTGCAGCAAGCGGAATGCGAATAAAGGAACAAGCGAATTCTAAGGGCGCAGTCTACCGAATATTTAATTAACCCCTCTCGATACTCCTTTCTTTTCGCATGAAGAAAAAAAAACAAAAAATTATACGATACAATTATTTATATTTTCATTTTATTAAAATGATATTTAGTACACCTTAATATTTGTTACTTCAATTTAATTTGTCTCTTCGCAATCTAATTTAATTTAATATATACAAATTATCACACTTTAAACATATTGAACAACTGCTGAGACGTATAATCTGAGATTTATTTTTTATTTTTACTCCGAGGTATATACATATAATGAATGCTTTAGAAAATGGGATTTTTATAAATACATTTTCGGCAAAAGGCGCGCGTGAATTTCGATAACACAGCGTTCATTTATTTGCGAGCAATAAATATAAAATGTCAAACGACAAGAAAAATGTCCAACGGCAAACGAGAACGAATAAAAAATCAAATATAAATATGCATTGCACCGTTTGGATATAACTAGATCGTTCGTCGTCTATCGCCTACGGCGACTCATAAGCCGATAACAGATTTCGAATCGACACATCACGAACTCGTCACCAAATAGTTTCGTTTCACTCGCGACGAGCATTTAATGTTGAAAGTTTTAGCTATTGCGACAAATTTCTACTAAAAAACATTTGGGCTCTAAATATATAGGAAATATATTATACACATTTATATGTATACGTATGTGTATTATACATATATGTATATCTCTTGCGATTACTAATTTCTAATTATTATATAATATTTTACGATACTTTTTAGACATTTTACTTTTTATATATTGTTATATGTGATGGGCAGAAAAAAAGAGCGGT